ATCTGCTATCATATTCTTTCCTTTTCCCTCCGTCGTCTCTCGTGATCTACTTCCGTGCTTTGAACTATGCTGCCATGACCAAGTCCTATGAGGCGGCTATGACCACCACGAGACATGTCACGCAGACTGCCTTTGGCGCCATTCAAATTTCCGATGATCCTCGACTCCTCACCTCCATGAAAACATCCATGTCCACTTACCTCGTCATTGTTGTCCGCCGTGACAATATTCTCTCCGATGCTTTGAGCCAATTATGGCGGCGTGAAAAGCGAGAACTGATGCGACCTTTGAAGGTGCAAATGGGCATGGATGAAGGAGAAGAGGGTCTTGACCATGGTGGTGTGCAACAAGAGTTCTTCCGTTTGCTAATGGGTCAAGCCTTTGACCCATCTTATGGCATGTTCACGGTTGATACTCGACACCGCATATCTTGGTTTCAACCTTGCTCATTGGAACCTCTCTACAAGTTCGAACTTATCGGTCTGTTGATGTCTATTGCAATTTACAACGGCCTAACCCTCCCCGTGAATCTTCCCACTGCTTTCTACCGCAAAATGTTGGGTCTGAAGGTGAAGCATCTGGACCACATCCGAGATGGATGGCCGGAGCTAAGCCAAGGGCTCGCCTCATTATTGGCATGGAAAGATGGCGATGTCGGCGATATTTTCACAAGAACTTACGAGTTCAGCTTTGAAGCCTTCGGAAGTGTCGAGACAGTCGATATGGAAAAAGTTCATCGTGATGCAGCGTGGCCTGTTGCTAGCAAAGTCAAAATCACCGCTCCGGCTCCTATAGCGGGCTCCAGCGCCTGGATGGATGTGCCAGCTTACTGCGACCCTGCGACATTGAGATCACCAACCTCCATGGCAGTCGAGGAGGCCACCGATGCCACACCTTGTGAGCCTGCCTCAGACACGGCCGTCAAGTCAGTATCTGAGTCCATATCACTTCAGTCCCCTCTACTCCCGGATGAAGAGGCCGCTCTTGTGACGAATAAAAATCGAAGTCAGTTTGTCAAGGATTACATCTTCTGGCTCACAGACAAATCCATTCGACCACAGTTTGAAGCCTTCCAGAGGGGCTTCAACACGTGCCTGGACCGATCGGCTCTATCCATCTTCTCCCCCGAAGCCCTTAAAACCGTGGTTGAAGGTATTCAATCGATTGACGTAGACGAGCTCGAGAAATATACCCGGTACGAGGGTGGATTTGGTCCTGATCATCGAGTCATTCGTGACTTCTGGGATATTGTCCACGAATACCCCAATGAGAAGAGGGCCCAATTACTCGAATTCGTCACTGCTAGTGACCGAGTTCCCGTCAACGGTATCTCAAGCATTATGTTTGTGATCCAGAAAAACGGCGTTGGAGATCTGGTAAGTTCTGCCACTTTTTATAGCCTCCATAATATGGATTGTTATACTAATTGCTCTTCTAGCGTCTTCCTACCAGCTTGACGTGCTTCGGACGTTTGCTTTTGCCAGAGTACTCTTCAAAGGAGACCTTGGCAACGAAGCTTGACAAGGCTCTCGAAAATGCTCAGGGATTCGGCGTTGCATAAAAGGTTGTCAGATTACATTTTACCTATACATACCCATTTGTTCGATATTTCATTGATGTGGTGTTAGCATTCTATCTCATACGGTGCAAATAGCATAGTTTCATGAAGCACTTGTCTTTACATGGACATCTCACGAGGATTTAAGATAGACAAATCATAGTTTATAGATCCCCATCGTACTCCAATGCAGGGCTCTGGTTCGCCTGACGATGTGGCGCTCCGCAAATTTATACCAAATCGGACTTCTGAGGTCCGGGCGATGACTCTTAGCATTCACATCCCTAAGTGTATCTGTTTACTCCTTTACTCGCACATATCTCTTTACATCCGGAAATTCCCTTTGGGCCAAGTCTTCTGTATAAAGTAAGACACTCCGATTCGCACGCACAACTTACCCGCTATCACCCCCCACGTCCCGCGATAAGCGCCCATCTTCGCCTTCAATATCTGCAACTCCTGCAAGTTCTAACGTGAAATTTACCAGCTTACTCCAAATACCCGATTGAACGTTTGATCATGGCCCCCATTATTCACTGCGTCCGCCACGCCCAAGTATGTCCTTATGGTGACAGTGATCGCAACTCCCTGAGCCTCGACAATTAATACGCAACATGGCTCTTCACTGCCCAGTCGAGCTAATAGATAATCGCAGGGCCTGCACAATGTTTGCACCGCCAACCACATTATCCAAGACCCCGTTCTCACCGAGCTTGGCCACGAACAATGCCAAAAGCTCCGCGAGAGTTTCCCCCGCCATGCCAATATCGACCTGGTGACCGCCTCGCCCCTCCGTCGCACCATCTATACTGCGCTCGAGAGCTTTGCGCCCGTCTTTGAGTCAAAGCCGGACTTGAAGATTATCGCCCTGCCGGATATTCAGGAGACTTCGGACGTTCCGTGTGATACCGGCAGCGACCCTTCTGTTCTAAAGGAGGAGTTCAAGACGGGAGTTGATCTGGATCTTGTAGAAGATGGGTGGAATAACAAGGTATGCTTCTCACTTTGTTGCGCCTCGGGGATCGCCCCATTATTATCCAACACGTGGAATACTCACATTTGTCCACCAAAAAGGCATCCGGTCGCTACGCCCCAACCAACAAAGCCCTCAAGGAACGCGCTCGTGCCGCCCGTCGCTGGCTGAAAGCCCGCCCGGAGAAGGAGATTGTCATGGTTACACACGGCGGCTTCCTGCACTATTTCACTGAAGACTGGGAAGACAGCAGCCAGTTCCAGGGTATGTGACGTCAGGCTACGACTGTGGAGAAGCATACCGCTAACGCCGTTTTCTATTCTTCTAGGCACCGGCTGGTCCAACACTGAGTACCGCACTTTCGCTTTCAGCGGGGAAGCACACACAGATGACCTGGAGGGATACCCGCTAGACGGTGATAATGCCTCACTTGAGGAGACACTTGAATCACGGCAGCGCCGGGGTAAGACTGGACCTATGCCTAGCCGGGAGGAACAAAAGACGCTGTATAAGAAGGGCTACCAGGGCTGGGATGACCAGGGATTGCAGATGAGCACTGCTGATCGGGAGGCGGCTAAGGCCACTGGAGGTGAGGAGGTCAATGGGGTCCGCATATAACTGGGCAGAAGAAGTGTGCTTTGATGGACATTGCTATCATAATTTTCGGTTGTCGCAGATGGCGACGGGTAACAAGGATAGAGCGAGTACATACATAGATCTGACATAAACCAAAATTGATTCCTTGGTTGTCCAAGCAAGGCTCTTTATTCCATTGTCTGTTGATTTCTTTGCGTTAGTCCCCTTGATTCTTGAGGCCCTTGGGCTATTTTAGCCCTCGGTGGCTGTTTTAGCAAACAATAGAACAAAGCTGACAAGCATGCATTATATGCCTTCATTGTTGAGTTCTTTACTCGATCCAAGTTTTCTTTATCTTCGGTTGTGAACAATGACCTTGGGCCTCGGAATACGAAACAGTCTTCCATAGCCTCGACAAGGCCGACAAAGGATTTGTAGAACAACTATGAACTAAGCTACCCTTTGTCTTGGATATGATTGTCTATATAATGGCTTTCGGGCCCCTCGCTTTTGATCCCGTCATCAAGAGCATTCCAGCCCAGGACAGAGCTCAACACCCGTCCACTACTATTACGAACCATCCGCTGAGTACCTTTTCCATTCATTTGTGGGATAGACACTGACACTATTATCTAGGACTATTTATATACCGAGAATATCTTCTTATTATGTCACAGGTGGGCGACCTCCCGCAAGATGCATTGCTAACATAAATAATAGACTAGGGCACCGCGGCATTAGACTACGAGTACCAATCCGAACATGCATATTACCTGTCTACGGCTACGTCCTTTAATAACCCTTATACCCCCCCCCCTGACTTCTCTTAATAACGAGATCCAGAGATGACCGCACCACGGGTCGTTCCAGGCACACCGTCTTGATATCATTCCACATCCAGTAGGTCATTCCCGATGTGCAGAGACATACTAACAGGCCAGATTAGATCCCATACGAAATGTTTCCCCAAAGAGGGATTCAGATTCAGATAGCGACTAGCTGAATGGCTAAGTTCTTTATTACCCTTCTTGGAAACCTGAATTCAGTACTAACGAAGCATAGGCCCGCCGATATTCTTTATTCAACATCACCACATAGTTCCATTATCAAACAACTAAGTCATTCTTCATCCTCGTGTCACTAACCCAATCTGTATAGATACATCTCGACGATACGTGCATAATATATTGTGGCTAGCTATTAGCCTAGACTGGGGGTTGATTATTTGTGCAAAATATTGCACATTGTCTTATTTATCAAGCAGCTAGGTCATTCCCTTGAGTCTTCATGTTGGCTAATTTGAATTTGACACGCAGCCATATATCACTAGGCCACCGGTACTAGCTTGATTAATTCAACAGATGAGCTGTTTACTACACACCTCTTTAAGGAGACTACCTATGTTATACTTGCCGAGCAGCTAAGTTATCCCTTCTAAACCCCATTACGACTAACTGATATCATATAGATATCGATGCGGGTACTCCTCTCGACCAATCTGCAATTGGCGACGGCTCGTGCCGTGTACGAGATTAGAAAATTGAGGCATTTCACTCTTGCCAATACCCGTATTTTGCTGCTTAGCAACAAGTGACCATGAGCAGACTGTACCATTTATTAAATTACCCCTGTTTCTGTCTCACTGCATATTACTGTCACCTAGGAATAAAGGAATGGATAGAAATGGGCCTTTTCTGATTGACATATCCTCACTTTGATAGTAGCCGATCAGCTAGTACACCACATCGTAAGGAAAAGTAAGATAGACAGAGCAGAGGTAGAACAGGAGCAGATACTAAGAAACCGGTCAACGAATCCACTGATTTGTTGGAGTAGAATTTCCCACAGGACCCTGGACATTTGCCAAACCAGCCATAAAAAAGTATCATTACCTCACAGAAGGTGCAGGCAGCGCAATCCCGTCGAGGTATAGCGTGTGGTAGACTCAATGACAGGTGAATACTTTATTCCCCAGGCATTGTTCATATACGTTTGCCGTAGAAAGATTGATTGTTCGTAGTTGAACAGCCATCCATACATAACGTCAAGTTCCAACATGTACTGAATAGGCTGAGCTAGCAGGGAACGCATAAGATTATCAGTTTGATAATCCAGGAAATCGTGTTCCAGGACCCATGGAACTTTCGACGAACTTGTCTCCTGTGCCGCTCCCTCGCCCACCTCACGCTGCTGGGAAAGTGCGGTCTCCGCCTCCGCCTTGGATTCCGCGGTTGTTATGGAAAAAGCTCAGTGGTGGTAAAGATGTCCATTATTAATGTTATGCTACGTAAGAAGTAACCACCCAGAGCTTACCTAAGCTATGACTAAGAAATAAGCTCTGGTCCCTCACAGCGGTTGCCTTCGTCAATTTCCCCTCGTAGCCGACCTTGACTGCCATCAGCTCCCCAAGATGGGTCTGCTTCAGCAACTTGACACGCTCCTCATGTTGCTGCTCGGCGTTCACCAAGGCGCTTCTCACAGCCTCCCCCATTTGCTGCTGGGCCAGCTCGTGGGAGATGCCGGAAGACGCCTGGATCTGCTGGCGGTGGCAGCGTCGTGGAGAGACCGAATCCGGTCAGCTGTGCGGGCCACAAAGTTTCGGCCTCGGTCTTGAACTTGACCAGCTTCGACTCCAACGCCGCATTGACAGTTGCCAACTGCGTAATGGCAGTGAACTGTTTATCCGGTCGATCGCGACTCTTCTTCCGAACTCCGTATTTCTTGGCCGGGGCCCAACGAGCGGATCAGTGCTGACTTTCGTCAAAGTTTCTCACATCACATGTGAAATCCTGCCATTTTCGTAAAGGTCCAGTGAAAGAAATTGGATGTGACGCCGACGAGGTGGTGTGGGGTTGTTATCAAGGCGAGTTGATAATGTCGCGGTGCTCTAGGGTTAGAGACCGATAGGGTTAGAGACCGATAGCGCACAAGTAGAGTGGTCGAAAGATGAAAAGCACCTTGAAAAGAGAGGTAAAAAGCTCGTGAAACTTCAACTTCTAATTTAGTCAGGATTAACACCGACAGGTAGTTAGGTGATCTTCACTATAAACTAGGTTAGATGAGTTTGAGAAATGACTCGAATAGACTTTACCATGGTTCTTCAGCTCCCGCTGGGAATCTCAGCAGGCTTGACGTAGTGGTAAGCTGTTGTACCCAGCCGTTTGGGACGAGCTGGACAAGCCCTCTGCCTGTGTATAGTAAACCATCAATCAAGACGCCCATAGTAGCTATATATCAGGCGAAGAAAGCCTCGCGGTGTGAGACGCCAGATCGATCTTGAACAAGAGAGAGTGCATTCAAATGAATAAGAGGATGGAGAGAGAAAGAAGAATCAAGTTCTAAAGTGGGAAGTAGCCAGTTGATATAGCTGACCAAAACGTTGCAAACCTCGAACCTTCTCGCTTTGCTATCTAGCAAATCTATCTAATGGAGTAATCCAAACAGTAAGCGAGCAAGCAAACATGAAGCATCTGATAGAGATCTATCGTAGATCGTGACACGCGAGACTGAGCTCCCATGATAAGATCAACGTCCTTGAATTTGTTAGTACACTGGCTAGAGAAAATCTTACTTGGGTTAGCCATATTCCTATTTCGGTATGTATGGTTCCAACCTTAAGTTTAAACTGAGGTTGTTGTGGGGCTAGCACGTGATCATAGCTCATCTCATGAGTCACATGACTGCTCATATTCTGGGTCATCCCGTGGTCATGTGATCATCCAGGGTCACCCCATACCACGTGACCGGCTGCCCCAACAATGCATCGCCTTCTAAGTTCTAACGCGCTTTAAATGCTGGTGCCTTCAATTGACGTACGAATCGGCGGGGGCCTTCTATTTTTAGGTGCCGATCACCCAGTCCCGTGGCGCAGACTTCACTTCCATGGGCGAACTCTTGATATAACTCCGCACAACCACCTGGGTAATCTCTTGCTGCATTGTACCCCCCAAAGGACAAAATGATCGATGAAAATTTACCCAGTACGTTGTAGGGACTAATTTCAACCTCGTCTCTTGGTGCAGACTACGCCATCCCCCGCTAGCTTCACGATTTTCATACTGACCGCGGGACAGCGTTCTTCCTCAAGAACAACTCAAAACAACCTCAGATCAGCACAATATATCATAGTCAACATGGCAATGACCCCGAACCTGCTTATTCCTTGCACGCGCTTGACCCCACCGCCCCAACATCACAGAACCGCTACGGAGTCGCGCTGTACGACCCTTACGTGACAGGCGTTGTCTATGGCGAGGTGGCTGTAGCTCCAGATTGGACCCAACCGAGTCTGTCGGCAGACGCAATACGAGCAAATGGCGGCGTAGTGCCCCCCCCAGAACCCATCCTCCCTACCGATTTTACCATCCAGCTTTACAACCCCGACCAAGAGATCACAGTTAAATATCATACAAAATCGTGGAACAAACCAGCCCGGTGGGAATTTGAGATGCCTCAAACCACATTCCGAGTTCCTTCCGCTTCAGCGCTAGACCAGACTCAGATCGATCCGTCTATTGCTGACATTACTCCGAAATTGAGGTTCAGCTGGCGCAAGGATGGAAAGCTGTCAAAGGATTTGACATGCCTGTTACACGGCAAAACTTCAAGAATTCCCGACACTCGATCAAAGAGCCGTGAGCCAGATATTACGGTCGCTCTATTTCAAGGACTGAAGGAGCTTACTCTATACGAGCCCAATCTCTACCGCGTCGAGATGGAAGATACCAAGGGTTTGGAGGTCGTGCTCCTCTTAGCTGCCGTTGCAATTCGAGATATTTTCTTTGGGCCTGCCAAGGAGGCTTTTCATATCACCCCCGGTGGGCTGAACGAAGGTCACAAGCAAGCAGCAGTGCCAACTTCAATTGCGGCGACGGCCACACCAGCTAGTGATCCCAGGCCCGACCGGAAGAACCCACAGGCCCGACCCCCTAAGCCAGCAATGAATGGAAAGCCATCGCCACCTCGACTCAGCATTCCGAACTCCTCATCTCCGGCCCCACAAGAGAGAAGGCGACAGGACGAACTCGCAAAACAGGAAGAGGAGCGACGAACCCAGGAGGTTCTCGCCGCAGAAAAAAAAAGCACGGCGTAGGCGGGAAGCAGAAGTCGAGAAGGAAACCAGACGCCTGCAGCAATTATACGGACAAGAAGAAGAACAAGCACGAAAGCAACGACATACTCCTGCTCCATCTTCCAGGCCCTACCCCCCACCCCGACACACCGGACCCCCTCAACCTTACTCCCACCAATACTCTCAATCCTCAGTCCAACTTAACTCCCAGCCAGTAGCCCGTCCATCCCATCACGCCGGCCAACGATATTCCCATGGCGCACCCACCTTCGCCAACAGCCCATACCTCAACGCACCGGGGCGTATGGATCCTCGAGTCCAATCCTCCACCCACCTTATGCAGCGACTACAGCAACCACACCCGCAACCCCGGCCACAGTCCACCGTTGCGTTTCACCAACTTCCTACCAGTAGCGGCGCTCTCCTAACAGCATCAAGGCCGACACCTCAAGTCCAACCGAGGAAGAGTTTCTTTGGGCTCCGACGCAACAAGGAGGAAACTACTAACAAGCTTGAAAAAAAGCGGAGTTCTATGTTTTAATCTTGTATACCCTGGCGTTTTCGTTTTTCCCGCATCATACTTTGCATCTCGGCGTGGTTGTATTTTGCCCTTGAGTATCTTATTGTAGTTGCACAGCGATTACTTTCATTACAATGCATGGCATCTTTTGCTTTACAATCCATTCCAGACCTAGTAAATTGGCGATAGAGCTGTTGTAATCTCTTGGTGGTTCCCGAAGGACACAGCAGGCAAGGGAGTCCATAGCAAAGCAGAATGCTTGGACTTATTTATGTACGTGTGGGATATAACCATGTCCACCACCTGTAGGATTATCCGAGAGGAAGGAGCAGCGAATGAGTGGATTATCTGATCTACGTGCAATAATCCTACAGGCACCAAGGAAGCGTCGGAATCAAATTGCTATTCTAGTTTGAGTCTAGCTTGAGATCCGATACACAGACTGGTAAAGTAGCTTGGAATTATGGCCTAGCAGGAATCGGTTGTTGCCCTCAAGGTCTTCCACCTTTTGGTGCATCGACTCTCCCTCGTCAGTGAGATCGGCAACTGCCTGCTTTAGGCCCTCAATCAGTGAGTTCTTAGTGTCACAAGAGCTCTGTACTCGAACTGCAATGCGTCGTCTCGCTTTTGCAATCTCTTGCCAGCCCTTAGGTAGCCGTTCCTCTCTTGCATAAACTTAGTGGCCCCATCGGTTTCGTTCGCTATTGATCTCTTTGATCTCTCGTTGAAGGTCGTGGGGGTGGTGGGACTATGGCAATTACAGCCGTAATGTGGGTAAAGATCGAGAGGAGGACGAAATCTTCTCTTGCGAGCTTAGCTGTTGTACCGGAAATATAGTCGGGATATTCTTGGGAACGGGAGTTTTTCGGGTCAATCAATCAGAGCCCTGTCGACTCTGACACGAAGTCTGAAGTGACCAAATGAGGTATTTCCTTTGTGCAGACCAATCGCCCTGAGCGTCGGGTTTCTGGTTCAGAGGGGTAATTGGTTTCAGAAAGTCGAAGAAGCTTGAGACTCCGACTTCTAGAGCTGCAATTGTTTCTTCTTGCAACCTCCATTATTGCAAGCTGGTTCTGTGTTGTAGCTCTCCAGCAGCCTTTTTCCGGTCCATTTTCTGCACTCTTTTGGTTTCTTCTACCATCTGGCCGTCGAAGTTCTCATTTGTTTCCTTGCTGGCCTTTTTTTTTGATGACCGGTGTATGCATATCTTCAAGGAGCTTCTTTCCTGGGCCACTCCCTTAGCAATGTGTGTTTTTGTGCTAGCTGTGTCTTCTTGTGGGTAGAGTTCTAGCCCTTGCTACAAGCTTTGAATCAGCGAATAGTTCGGACATTATCACTGTTGAGGTTTGACGACGTAGGATAAAGTGAGAGAAAGGTCAAAGCAGGTAAGGAAGATATGGAATACATCTTGCATCACTAAAAGCGGCCATGATGCTGAAATGTAATGAGATCATGATGGAAGAGTGATATAGGCAGGTGCTTGACGACGTCAAGAGAGCTCACTGGGGAAAGAGAAGACATGTAGAGAGGAAAAATGGGGAGATTGACGAGAAGAGGGAAGGGGGTATTCATACCTTAGGATATATATACAGAGCAAGGGAGTCTCAGAAGAGAGAAGAACTTGAAGAGACTGCATATTTATTTATCCCTTAGGAGGTGTGGATGGGGAAGAACCGAGAGAGAGAGAGAAGTGGGAATATATTCGAGAGGAAGAGGATCTTGGGGAGAAAAGAATGGACAGAGGATAGAGTGGAAGAGAGTGTATATTTATAGCCAAAGTTGAGAAGAGCTCGGAAGATGATCGTAGGAAATGTACCAGGAAAGAAGTGAGTTAAGGTGATATAAGTATATCGAGTTATATAGAGAAGGAAAGGCTCAGAAGTAACAAGTGATGACTAGAAGGAGGTGTGGAGGGAGGGGGAATATGTATTTATGCATTAGTAGAAGTGAAAGAAGAAAGGTCAAACTTCAAAGGAGAGAACAAAGGAAAGAGAGAAGTACTACATACTAGGAAGAGGGATTTAGACTCAGCAGTAGGTGAAGCATCTTCTTAATCGGGAAGTTCCCATCTTGGTACCCAATATCTACAGTGGGTATCTGGGGTGGCACTACTCCGTAGGTATGGTTGGGTTTATTGATGATAACCTACTCCGTACTATTGCGGCGGGGGAGTAATTCGGTGGATCAATGGATCACCAGTTAGGTCAACTGCGTCTGATCTGCCACTGTCTCAGTGTCTATAGATATGAAATGACGTCATCTTAAAGAAAGCCATTGCTCGGCGATCAATAAGGTCCCCGGTAAGTGGAGCTAGTCCTGGCCTATGGCGGGCTTACTACGGAGTGTACGGAGTATGTACGGAGTGTGTACCTGCAGTCCCCTGTAGTCTGGACCGGGGCGTCTGGCTGATTACCGGAGTAAGAACTCGGTGTAAGAAATCATTCGCTGTCGGTCTTGCACTCGCCGAAATTCGGAGCTCGGGTTTATGCGGACAAAGCCACAGGACTGGCCGGCGACCAATAGGAGTGACTCGACGGGGCGCGGGAGTGCCACGTTCGCAAGCCACGTGCTGTCAATCATATTCCCAAACTCAATTGAGAAAGAGTTGCCCTTTCCCAGACCAATAATCGACAATCTCTTCCCCATGACTCTAACAGAATACAGGAAAGCCTCACATTCCGGACGAAAGGGATCGGCGATGCTTGCAAGATATTATCGTTGGCCCCGACGAATGAGAACTAGTGAGAACTGCGCCACATTTGCTCAGCCATTGCCAATGTGAGCTCATGATGCCATACTGCGTCCATGGTCTGACGATGTGGTTATGTGAAGGGCTGTAAGAGGCCTGCTACCTCTCGTGGTAGTGTGTATTCTGGATACAGGAGACACCTTGGTTATAGCAAAACTACCGGCAGGGGAGGCTTCTCCGACGGAGTAGTTGGCCGACCATGAGTGGCAATGCCGTTGGGAGAGTTTAATTGATCTGCAGGGATATTGTTCGCAATTTATAAATAGGGGCGGAATGTTGGGAATACCCTGCAGATCTATATTTGCTGGAGGTGAGATGCTGCAATATCCTGTAGTTCTGAGCAGTTTTGAAGAGGGAGAAGAAATCAATTTACAGAGACCATGAATGGGATGAATTTAAAGAGTCAATTGACTATCCAATTGACTAAAAATGGACTCTGTAGGTAAAAAAAATGGATATATAGAACATAGATCCGATCAGGACCTGGAACGGCTTTTCTTCCCCGCAGGCCCAACGTCCTAGGGCTAGCAGCCTGTCAATTTCCCCTCCTCGAATCAACTCTACTTGCTTTTACTCAGCTGAACTAAACCCGCGAAAAATGAAACGTAAACCACATCTTCCACCTGCCCCCGTGGTAATATCTTGTCATTGAGACCATTGAGACCATGGTGGGAGTTCCGCACAGTACAGGCTGTGCCCTGTGTCGCGAGCGACGGATCAAGGTCAATATCCACCAAAGTAAAGTTCAAGGTCCTGGGCTAATAAGGTCCATAGTGCGACGAGGCAGTTCCAGAATGCACCCAATGTCAGAAATATGGTCGTACCTGTCCGGGCTACACGCGAACCTTTCGCTTTCAAGATGAAGGCCCCAACCTTGCGCGGCGACATCGGTCCAACACCCGACGGAAGGGGAGAGGCACATTGGCAGGACCCGCTACGTCTTCAACTCGAACTAACCAATTCCCTTCACGCGGGGACCCTTCTGCGACTGCAGATATAGTACGCGGCAATGCGATTGCCCTCATGCGCCGACAATCTTCCTTGGGTGGCTGGGACGAGCAATTGCTGGCGCGCAAGTCCTTCCGTGCCGCGCAGCCACAATTATTCCTCGACTTCATCAGCACGTCGTTTCCAACCTTCTATTTTCATAACCTGTTCCGGTCTGGCGATACGCCCGGATTCGCCGAAAATCTCGTCATGAATTATGGCCAAGACGCGTACCTCGACTCTGCCGTTTGCTGCCTGAGCTCCGTCTATCTAGCACACTTGACTCAAGACAAGGCACTCCTCAAAATAAGTCGACAAATGTACTCCCAGTCGCTGCGGGAGGTTATGCGAGCCATCCCGAAAGCCGACCATGCCAACTCCGACAACATGCTCTGCACATCCATCGTCCTCAGTGTCTTCGAAATGTTCGCGCAGACCACACCCGACGCCTGGGTCGTGCACTCGGAGGGCGCAAAACGCCTGATGATAAGCCGAGGCCCAGAAGCGCACGAGTCCGGGTTCGGAAGATACTGCTGGATAGCATTCCGCGGGTTCTTCATCGCGACAGCCGTCTACCAAGGCGAGCCCTGCTTCCTAGACCAAGAAGAATGGCAATCCTACGCGACGAAAGTCAGGACCGAAGACTGCCAGAAGCCCGGCGAGTGGTCTGCATACGGCGAAGTATCCGACTTGATCTTCATGGAGATCGCCAAATGCCCGCGGTATATCAGCGAGACCCGGGATCTCCTCTCAGTCCCGTACGAG